CCCCTCTCCTGGGCAGGTTCCCTGCAACCACATTCCTAGTGGCTTTGTAGTAAAAATACTCTCTCCCTGGATGCATTCTCCAAGTCAAATTGTATTTCCTTTGTGTCTCTAGACTCTCTGCTCCCCAAACATTTAATTACCAGGTTAGGAAAAAAGACAGGGCATAAAATACAGGCGCAGGAAAGGGGGGAAATTTGTGGAGGGACTCTGCAGTTACAGAGCAAGTGTCCAACACACTGTAGCTTCCACAGTGATGCATAAATCAAACTACTGATGCAATGCCACCCTCTGGAGTAATCTGTTAACATCTCAGAACAAGCACCCAGCCTCTCTAAACTGAAATGATGCTGCAACAAAACAGTGATCGATAAAAAGAGAAGACTGGGGGAGGAAGGAGCAACACTGATTTTTTTTTTTTTCTGGGTCAGCTGTTGCTGGCTTAAAAAGATTTATATCCTACAGTCATCCTAGCTGGACTACAGAATTATAAAGCAACATCTAGCCTAGTAAAATAAACACTGAACCAGCCTGCATCTACACCAGCAAACTCGGTGCACAAAGCAGAGTGACTGCATACAAACTACCTGGAAATCTTGCCCTGTTTAAAACCTATGGTAAATACTAAGCCTGGAATGAAATGTACAATGTAAATGTGCAGAAAAGAGGTGAGAAGTACTACCAGTCTGTAACTGATCTGACCTGGACTCCTTAGTAAAGGCTGTAGCATAAAAGAAATCAAACTGAGTATCTCCCAAGGAAAAAATTCAAACATTTCTGGCTTTAGGCAAAAGCACAATTAATGCTTGATGCCTTCTATGGCTGTATGTAATCACCTGCTACACTTACTGGGCAAACATGACCTTTTCATCTAGTACAATGTGACACCTTTACTTGTTTATGTGTTTGTGCAAGTCAGAACTGAGAACAATAATTAAAGGCAGCCTGGCAGGCACTGATGAGATACTACAGGCAGCAGTGGATACCTTTGACTCTCTGGCAGAGGTTACAGACCCTGCATTAATGTGATGCAGCATACATCTCCAAAACTCTGACTACAAAAGAATTTTCTGTGGCATTGTATGGGTTCAAAGGTGTTCCTTAGTTAAACAGTCAGCACACTGTGCATTAAAGATCTGAAAGCAGTAGCTCACAGAAGTCCAGATTAGACCTGGTGAACTGAACACATGATGTGGAGAATTTACTCTAAACAGATCCATCCTCCTATCTGTATCAGGCAATCTGGGTGATTTGTCTGGGTACCATAAATAGAATGCCACTGAAATTCAGTGGAAGTGGCTTCCACTGCTTACATTACCTCAGCATGAAGAATAAAGGCCCTGTGGTAGACCTCAGGAAGAAGAATACTTTCATAACCTCCAGTTGAACATAATTATTTTGCTTTCATCTTTGCACCCTGCTTGACTATTTCCACAGAGGTACCTTCCTGCTCCTACCAATACAGAGGTCTAGCTAGCTGAGCCTGAAGAGCAACAAGGCACTTCACAACAAACACTCTGGCAGGGGCACAGCTCAGGCAGCACCAGTCTCAGCTATAGCATCCACTAGCCTGCTATCACATGCACCAGATCCTATAAACGTCCCAGTACTTCCCTGGTTGCCACCTTTGATGTAATTTGCTCCTTTAGGGAGTCCCATACTCACACTATTATCCAGAAGCTGATACTAACCTGTGTGGTACTGCAAAGCCTCCAGTACAATGTGTGCCTTCTCAATGCTGCTGTAAAGGCCACCTGACTTGCGTGTCCACACACTCCTGCCTTCAGGAAATGACCCTGTATCCAGCTACACAACAGGCACGAGGAGGTGGCAGCTATGCTGAGGGCTGGTTTCTAGCTTCAGCTATGAGATGCAAAGTGGTCCCTGGTGCACGCAAAAAGCAGAAATCACTAATATTTGGTTTACTCAGACAAGAAGTTTTACTCGGAGACGAAGGTAGACATGGAGAAATGCTAGAGACTGCAGTGCAGCTGACTTCTTTAATTACTTCTTGGCCCTGACCACTGCTCTAAGCACACTGCTAAGCTCTTATTCCAGAGCACGTCAGGCTTTCAGCATGGTCTATGACTAATGCAATTTCTTCTTTTTTACAGCCGACACCCTGCTGTTAGTGGCCCTGTCCTCTCTCTAAATAGGCTTTAACAATCTGGTTCTAAGTAAAACATACTTTTACATTTTAAAAACAAAATTAAATAAGTCGTAACCTCAAACCAGATGATCTTACAGCTGAAAGATACCGCTGCACATCAGCCCTGCCTTCTGTGTAATATTTGTGAAGAATAAGCAGCAAAGAACTTTTAGCTTTCTAGTAAGCAAACCAGAGGACCTGAAATTACTGTTACAGTGTTCCTCAGGGTGCTTGAATATCCTCTTAAAGAAACAGCAAAAAAATCCATTTGTGGGATGTATGCCCAGTTATACATTGTGCAAATGTATATGTGGTCTGTCATACAAAAGACACAATATACCATCTTTGCTTTGACCTGCCTTGTACCTGCACAGTAGCCCTTACTGAAAAGCTCTCAGTACACATCTGCCAGCTGC